CTTTTTCTTACCAACCGAGTGGGCGGCGCAGGTGGCGCGGGCCCTTGGCGGAGGGGCCTGCCGCATCCCCCTGCCCCGGCGTGACCCCCCGGACTCCGGCCTCCCCATCTGGGGGGGGGCTTCCTTGAAACCCTCTGGGCTGGAGCACCCGGCATTCTGCTCCCCCACCCTCCCAGGGTCGGTCTTAGGCCACACACCCCACTCCGGTACCTGAGGTGACCCGGCCTTCCTCCAACTCCCTGCACTGGAAACCTTGGGACCCCACGGGAAAGCATCACCCCCAGAGTGTGAGCTGAACAGAGAGGTCCTGAGGTCCATCTCTCCTGGCAAAACTCTAATGTCTGCTTCTGAAATGGGTGTGATGGGGTTACCTGGGCACGCAGGGTCCCTGGAAGGTGGGGGTTCTGAATGTGTTCCCCTCTCAGGGCAGTGGAGCATCTCTCCTAGTGCATGTTAAGGGAGGGAGCCAGGCTGGGGTTTAGGGGGCCATGGTCATGCTAGGAGGTGCCCTGGGCATTTTTTGGTTGGGTCAGATGATGGGATGGAGGGAAGAGGGACAGGCTTCTTCAGGTCCCGAGTTAGAGCCGGCTCCCAGAAGGCCCCCAGATAGTAGTGAGCTTTCAGGCTGCAGAGAGGTCCTGTCTCTGCCCCTCCCAATGGTTCTGCACAGGAAATGAAAGTAAACACGGTGCTTACTGGGGAGCAGGAAACACCCCGGGGGACTCCACCAGAGGTGTCCCTGTAGAATCGCAGCATCCCTGACTGCACATCCACTGCATTGCGGGGCACTTTAGCTAGAACTGCAGTCCATGCTGTCCTCATTTCAGAGAAGAAGAAATCGTGGTTTGGAGGGGTTAAGGGAACCCCCTCAAAGTCATTTAGCTTGTAAGTGGCAGGGCAGCCCTACTCCACAGTGCTCTACTTAAGCTCTGTGCTGTGTGGCTCCCTGGTCTTGGAGGAGGGAGGTCAGGGTGGGAGAAGAAGCAGAGTCCTCCCACCACTCAAGGCCCTGGGACTAGAGTCCATGCCCAGAACCCATTGCCCATCTGGGACTATAGTTCCACACTGGGAGGATCATGGGGACCCATCTTTCTCTGTTGCTTCCGCCCTCAGGAAGAGAATCCTCTACAAGAGTGTGTGCCTGTCCCTGGCCCTGCTCGTGGCCATAGCAGTATTCCAGCGCAGTCTGACCCCCAGCCAGTTTCTGCAAGAGCCTCCACCACCCACCCTAGGGCCACAGAAGGTCCAGAAACCGAGTGGACACCTGTTGAACCCCAATGACTTCTGGAAGAGATCGAAGGATTTGGTCACCCCCATGCCCATGGCCTCATGGGGGCCTCAGGCCTGGGACGTGACCACCATTAACTGCTCAGCCAATATAAACTTGACCCACCAGTCCTGGTTCCAGGGCCTGGAGCCACACTTCCAGCAGTTTCTGCTCTATCGCCATTGCCGATACTTCCCCATGCTGCTGAACCACCCGGAAAAGTGTGATGGCGACGTCTACCTGCTGGTGGTTGTCAAGTCGGTCATCACGCAGCATGACCGCCGGGAGGCCATCCGCCAGACCTGGGGCCTGGAGCAGGAGTCGGTGGGCAGGGGCCGAGGCGCCAGGCGCACCCTCTTCCTGCTGGGCACAGCCTCCAAGCAGGAGGAGCGCGCCCACTACCAGCAGCTGCTGGCCTACGAGGACCGCCTGTACGGCGACATCCTGCAGTGGGACTTCCTTGACAGCTTCTTCAACCTGACCCTTAAGGAGATCCACTTCCTCAAGTGGCTTGACATCTACTGCCCCAGCGTCCGCTTCGTCTTCAAGGGCGATGACGATGTCTTCGTCAACCCCACCAACCTGCTGGAATTCCTGGCTGATCGGAGGCCGCAGGAGGACCTGTTTGTGGGTGATGTCCTGCAGCACGCGCGGCCCATCCGCAAGAAGGACAACAAGTACTACATCCCCGGGGCTCTGTACAGCAAGGCCACCTACCCGCCCTACGCGGGCGGAGGTGGCTTTCTGATGGCCGGAGGTCTTGCCCGGCGCCTGCATCACGCCTGCGACACCGTGGAGCTTTACCCCATTGATGACGTCTTCCTGGGCATGTGCCTGGAGGTGCTGGGCGTGCGTCCCACGGCCCATGAGGGCTTCAAGACTTTCGGCATCTCGCGGAACCGCAACAGCCGCATGAATAAGGAGCCGTGCTTTTTCCGCTCCATGCTGGTCGTGCACAAGCTGCTGCCCGCCGAGCTGCTGGCCATGTGGGGGCTGGTGCACGGCAACCTCACCTGCTCCCGCAAGCTCCAGGTACTCTGACCCTGGCCGGGCCACCAGCGTCAGCTGGAGCTGCAGTGCCAGGGCGGACGGAGCCTTTGGTCCCCTGCAGGGCAGTGGAGGGTCTGGGCCTTATGTGCTTCTGGGTGTGGTGGGGCACAGGTAGCCAGAGGGGGCCTCCCTGTGTGGACACTCTCCAGAAAGAGGAGCCGAGGCCCAGGAAGTTTGGAACTGCCCAGACTGGAGAAGGTCACCGGGGGAGCGAGGCTGCTGGCAGCCCTCCTAACCTGGGTTCTTTGCCTCACTCTCTCTGCCCTGGGGAGGCCCCGGTGGCCTCTGAAGGAACCCCATGCTCAGGTACCTGGGCTAGGCCAGGCCCTGGATGGCTCTGTGGCTGCCCTCTTTTTTCACAGAAGATTCTCCTCCGGTGAAATGCCTCAATCTCCCCACGGGCCCACCCAGCCCTTTCAGGAGCTCAACCCTGTGCAGGCTCACAGTGTGCCCTGCCCCAGTACATGCCTCTGGGTCTCCTGGAGACAGAGCCTTAGAACACCCTCGGCAGCCCTCCCTTCCCCCAGACCTGCCTGGAGTTGGCTGCTCAGCCTCCCCTGCTCCCAGGTGGCTGCGTCCTGTGATGTTCCATCCCCTTCTGGAAGCATAACCTGCCGCTCTGACTACCTCAGCGATCCTCAGAACCTCGGGATGGACAGCAGCCCCCACCCCACCTCTGACGCAGGGCCAAAGAGCAGTGCTCTGCCCCCTAAGTCATGGTGCTGCCCGACCAGCCCTCGCCAAGGGTCCTCCTGCGGCCCCACTGAGGCCTGACTCCCTGGCTGGAAACCAGCCGGTTTGGCCTTGGAAGTGGACATACCTCTATTACTGTGAAGTTTTATTTATGAAGAATTTAGAGGGAGAAGGCGCCAGGCCTCAGGAGATGGTGGTGGTCTTCCCTTCCCTCAGCCCAGCAAGACACCTCCTCCCTTGGCCACTGTGACCCACCCCCAGGGCACCCCGGTGCCCCCGCACAGCCCCCTCCAGAACCCTGCTGCTCCAGGGCCTGACTACTCAACATTTGCCCCTGTGAAGGCCTGGAGTGGCCCTTGGGGGCCGCCCAGCCCAGGTTCAGGGGCCCCTGGGTGGGTGGGTGCAGAAGGGTAAAGACACCTGGGAAAAGACGGAATTGACTCTATTTTCTCAATAAAAGGGGACTGGTTTTTTTCTGGTATGAAACTTCCTGTTCCTGTTTCCATCCGAGGGCCTGTCCCGGGCCTGGGTTGCCAGAGATTTCTGAAGACACAGCTCATTCCTTGTTCTGGGCTGGTGGGTACACAAGAACCCCTTGAAGGGCCTTAGAGGGAGGTGAGTGCCAGGATGAAAGGAGAGGCCACGAGGGCCAGAGTCAAAGATGTTTCCTGGACTGGAGGTGGGGTGAGGTGCGGGATGGAGGGGGGCTGCTTCGAGCTAACAGCGCATTCCCCCGGAGGGCACAGCCAGAACTGACACTGCGGTGGATGTTACGAGAGTGGGGTTGAGTGGGGGCATGCAGGGGCTGACAGGCCCCCTCGTGGCCCTTCAGTCAACCTGGACACATTGATAAGTTTGACAAGAAGCGCTGAAACAGTGGCTGCGGGGGAGGGGAGAGGGTGTCTGGTGTGGCAGGAACCAAATGGGGTGGGGAACCTTGGCCCCAGCTGCTTTCCTCCAGGGTGGGAGGGCAGCCACCCCAGGAGAAGGGTCACTGGGGCTGTGATCAGCAAGCCAGCACATCCCTGCCTGTGCCCGGCTCGGGGATCGCAGAGTGGGCCCGGTGCCCCAAGAGAGTCATGCATGGCTGTCCCCCAGGTGAGTGATAGGAATGGCTGGATCCTAACATAACACATCTTAGAGTGTAGAGGGGCACGAGACCGAATGGGCATCACTGCTGCCCGCTGCCTGGTCTAAGCCCTGGGAGGAGAAACAGGCACATTGCTGTGGCTGTTTCTTCCTCCTCAGTGCAGATTCTGCACCTCCCCTCAGTCATCCGGCTCTGGAGTTTGCAGGGCCCAGTGCAAAATGAAAATGCAGGGCCCCTGCTTTAAAAAGTTAAGAATTTCAAGATCACCACAGCAGAGAAGCCAAACACAGCCCTCCCGAGGTGGGGCCTTGTGACTGCGCCGCCCTGTGGTCCATCGCTCACCCTCAGAAGCCAGGCCCTGCCCGGGCTGCAGGAAGCAGGGCCGGACTTTGGGCCTCTGCCTTCCCAGAGCTCAGTCCAGCGAGGGCAAGAGCAGTGAGGGACAGCAGGAGACTGGACGTGGAAGGGCCACTGGCTCAGGCCCAGGTTGGGTCCAGAGGCAGCCTTGTGTTCAGCTGCGACCTGAAGGAAGAATTTGGGGCAGAGGGGAGAGCTGAAGGGCTGGGGCAAGGTGCTCCTCAGAGGCTGGGGCTGGGGTGTGAAAACGGAAAGCGGCTGGGGTGCGGGTTTTGGCAGGTCTGGGTTGCAGGAAGGGGTTCAGACTTGACCCTGAGGGCAGAGGGGCAGCGGCAAGCAGCAGGGGCCCTGGATGTGCACCTTCCCTCTGGGCTGTCCCCAGCTGGCCCCGTGGATGGGAATTCCCTCAGCCTCTGCCAGTGGGGGGCCTTGCTCCTGACCCTGGGCAGGGGTGTGCTGGTGAGAAAGGCTCATGTTGCTAAGAGGTAGGGTGCCTTCTGCAGGCACTGAGGAGCCAGCAGCTTCCAAAGCAGAGAGAAACAAGATCAGACATTCACACCCCGGTCCCCCACTGGGGCTGGGGAAGCAGCCAGTCCCAAGTCCCAGGAGCATCAGGCTGGGAGCATGGAGCAGGGCCCAAGGCCTGCCCATCACTGTCCCCCAGCTCCTCTGTCCCCTTAGCAGGAAGGGGGTTCCATGAAAAAAGAAGCTAGTGACTGAGAGGAGAATTGCTGGGCGCTCCCACCCTAAGCCTAGGCCAGCCTGTCTGGAATACCCCAGCCGACTGCAGCCTTCAGCCAGCCCCAGGCCTGCCTCTGGCCCTCCCAACCCAGTCAGCCCTGGTTTCCTCTTGCTGCCTAGGATAGTGACCTGGCTGCTTCCAAAGACAGTCCTGGCCTTTCCGAGGTTTGTTGTTGATCATCTTGGGAAACACACGCACAAGACATTCTGGAAGTTTCCGGACCCTTCAGCATTTACAATCTTGATTCCCAGTAGTAATGATAATTACTGCCATTTTATGGAGCATTCAATATGCCTGGCACTATGATAAGCCCTTGACATGTATAATCAAAATAACCATAACTCAGGGCATAAATATGCCTACATTTTAATCCCCCCTGGACCCCTATTGGCAGGAAGTGAAGGGAAGTAGACTATGACACCCCAAAATTTGCCTCTCTGGCATAAGGTTTATTCTGAGCTGGTTGTTTTTGAGAAGTTACTCTTTGTAAGGGACGGTTACATTTATAAAGGAAACCTCCATTTTTAAATTTCTCTCTCTTGTACCAGGAAGAGAGGGTTTCTAAATCACAAGAAACTCTGATCAATGAAGAAGGCAGAGACTTAAATGTGTGACTTGACAACCTTATCTTTGGGCTTTTCTGGTAACCTCCCAGAACTGGCTTCCCCCCACCCAACATCTTCCTTTTGTCTTCAGCTGGTATTTGAGCTGGTGGCTTGGGCCATTTGGGGGAATTTCTCAGTTTTCCTGGAGGTCTCAGCTAAGAATCCAGAATGGTAGAAATAAAATTATTTTTCCTCCTTACAAAATCCTACTTCTCCCCCTTGGAACCCGCTCACTCCCAAATTGCCGAGAATTTCAAGGGCTTCCTTAGTCCAAACAGCGTGTTCTCTGGAAGTCTGAGCGGGACTCTTCAGTGGGGTCGCCCCCTCCACACAGTGGCACTGTGGAGCCCAAGCAGTCCTGCAGCTTTTTAGGTGCACCTGCCTGCACAGGCTGTGGGGGGACACATGCTTCAAACACAAATGTGGTCCTCCTCTTGCCAGGCCGGCGTGGCTCAGCGGTTGAGCATCGACCTAGGATCCAGGAGATCAAGGTTCGATTCCGCAGGGCACATGCCGGGTTGTGGGCTCGTGGGGGTGTGCAGGAGGCAGCCGATCAATGACTCTCTCTCTGATCATTGATGTTTCTCTCTCTCCCACCCCCTTCCTCACTCCGAAATCAATAGAAATCAATAAAGATATAATGGTCCTCCTCTTAATCGTCCTCACCAACTCAGCCATCCTTCCCCAAAGAACAGGGGTGCAAATAACAGAGGTGCAAAGGTCCTGTGGCTCCCAGTCAGCTGCAGAGTTGGCTGGGGAACCCAACAAACTCACTCAGGCTGCGAGGCCTTCCTGACAGTAAATGTTAATCAATCCCCAACCTGAATTTGGGGTTCAAGGAGCAGGTTGAGGGGAAATGGATCTCAAGCTCTTTCCCCTCCCAAGGCCCTCGGCTTCCGACCCAAAACGCTTCCCCTCCTCCCCTGCCGCCAGCTCTGCATTCCAAGGGGCCTTGCGAAGGTGTGGCTTTGTCAGGTCACAAAAGGTTCGGTTCCACCTCAGGGCAGCGGGTGCCCTCTCGGCCACATTTACATAACTAAAGGAGACCACTCAAAGAACCCTCCTCTTAACAAAGAAAGCCTGGTCCCCAGGTGAATGACTCTATCCACGTAAACTGTGGAGCCGGAAGGGAAATTTCTAGAACCCCATTATGCACAACAATCAACTTTAAAAATGGGGCTCCCAGTTATTCAGTGCACAGCTTGAACTCGTGTATGTCCTTCTAACCCCCCACACACCCCCACGTCTCCGTTTTTTTTTGTTTTTTTTTTAATTTATTGATTTCAGAGAGAGGAAGAGAGGGAGAGATAGAAACATCAATGATGAGAGAGTCAGTGATCCGTTGGGGATCGAGCCTGCAACCCGGGCATGTGCCCTGACCAGGAATTGAACCGCTGTCGCCTGGCTCCTAGGTCCGTGCTCAACCGCTGAGCCACGCTGCTGGGCTCCCCTTTTCCTTAGTGGTAACCTCCACGTGGGTTTTAGTAACTTTCGTATTATGCCCATGCTTGATTGGAAATTTAGTAATTTTGTTTCGCGGAGCTTCCATTAACTGCCCCTCTCCCCGTGGAAAAATCAGTTTTGCCTGTTTGCAATTCAATTCCTTCGCTCCATATAAATGTGTGATTTTGACACCTCCTGTGACAACCCCCGTTCTAGCATCTGTTTGACCTCATAAGAATAAAATTCATCTTAACCTCGTGCTCATGATGAATTTATAGTTCTAAAAAGTGTCTTTTAACAATTGCTTTTATACTAAAATGAAGACGGACACATTAGGGAGTAGATGCACTTGTTGCACATCATTGTAATACAGAATTTGCATCTTGGAATAAATATCGCACCTTCCGGCTGAGCACGGAGCTCCAGGCTTCCCGAGGGGCTCGGCCCGCGGCTCCTTTGAAGT